TTACTGGGCTAGTATTGTAATAGGAGCGCAGCAATACATACATACATACATATGTATGTTTGTACATATGTACATAGAAGAAATATTTTTGGAAATTCATACAAAAAATTGTAATTTTTTCAATTCAATTTATTTTCACTTTGTAATGTCGACACATATATCAGAACAGGTATTCACTTAAATCTAAAAAAATTTTAAGCCAAAATCATTTATTCGTTTTGTATATGTATAAATAATTCATAAGCCGTTTTGAATAAATTCAGCAGTTTTTTGCAAATACATTGAAAAAACAAGTAAGAAAGTCTAAGTTCGGGCGGAGCCCAACATTAAATACCCGGCGCAAGTATTAAATATATGTTTTCTACCTTTCCGAAAGCTACCGCTACATGATAAGCCGGGGTGTATAAATATTAAGTAAATTAGCGTCCTTCAATTTCGAAATATTGAAAATTCAAGCATTTCTGAAAATTTACCGTTATATGAAAAGCGGCTAAAATTTTAGTCCGATTTCAACAATTTTCAACGGTTTGCTTTTATGTGGCAAGCACAATAACCATACCGAGTTTGGTACAAATTGCTAGAACGGTTAGCGAAATACATATATGTGATCATAAGTGGGCGGTGCCACGCCCATTTTCCAAAATTTTATCATAAACGTAAGCGTCTTGGTAAAGAATTGTTGCAAACATCAATTTCGAATAAATTAGCTTTAATATTTAATGATTTATCGAGGATTTCGTATTTCTCTAAATTACCGTTATATGGGATGTGGGCGTGGTTATTGTCCGATTTTAAAAATTTTCGGCCGTTTGGTATGCTGTGCCAGGGCCAACAACTGTGCCAAGTTTGGAAGAAATCGGTGCAGCGGTCACCAAGATATATACATGTAACCATAAGTGGGCGTGGCTACGCCCATTTTCCAAAAAATTTTAATATTCTTATTTTCCGTCTAACAATCATCGTAAATATCAATTTTGAGTGAATTATCTTCAGTAGTTACTAAAATATCGCAGTTTTCGTATTTCTGAAAATTACCGTTATATGGGAGGTAGGCGTGGTTATTGTCCGATTTTGCCTATTCTCAATACCGTCCGTCCTATGCCCAAAAGAAGTGCACGTACCAAGTTTCGTTAAGATATCTCAATTTTATTTATTTATCTTTTCATTCTGATCATTTATGTATACATTTGTCTATATCTATCTCGATTCGTTTTGCCTGTTACAAACAACCGTTATGTGAACAAAGTTATAATACCCTTGTGTACAAGTGCGCTCGGGTATAATAAACCAGATTGGACCATAACTAACACTTTTAATTTTTGTCTATAAGCCCTTCTCCTGGGAATTCCCATATATAATATTATATTCATGAAATCATGTACATTCTTTGAAACCGTCTTTATACAGTCTATTTGAAGTACATAATGCCAAACAATTTTCTAAAGTCAAAATTGTGGGCGCTAGGGTTTACCTTCACCTAAATCATCGAAATTGTGCACTGTGCGACGGTCTTTAAGATGAAGGAAGTTAAACTAAGTTACATAAGTAGGTATTACTTTTGAAATTTTTTGTAATTTTTGTAGTGAAATTTTCCAATTTTTTGTAAATACTTCTAATCCTTACTCCTTTTTCAGCAGAATATTTTACTACTTCTCAAATAAAGGTCAAAAAGACCGGATATGAAAGAAAAAATTTATCCTGAAATTTTATTTCATATGATTAATACTTGGTATTCTAGTTTTTTGCGACAACTTTGATCACAAATTGGCATACCTAATTCGACTGCCAAACAACATTGTGACCTCCACGGCTCGGACTCCTTGGGGGTTTTGATATACTTACCAGGCGCAATCGCTCTGTACTTCAGTTGCCACACCGTGTTTTTTTTCTATTTCTTGCCTTTTGGGAGCAAATATTTTGAAATAGTAAATAAGTTCGTGGATCTTTATTAGTGTTAAACTTCTCACTTATAATTTTCGACGTTTTGCGCAGGGGTAGAATATGTTTAGAAATCTCTTGCATTTGTGTGCGTATTCAAAAAAGTGGGAATCTTTAAGTACTCCTGACCCTACCATTATATCACTCACATAAATAGCCATATAATTATTGAATACATACTTATCTTCTTAAATTTACAAACAGAGACCCAAAATAATTATTATCCTAATATTTGAGATCAAAAACGTCTCCTTGTTTTAAGGGAAATTTTTTTCGTCTTTCTTATCTTTTTTCGTCAAGTGGGATGATTATTTTCAGATGGAAATTATTTACGTCTTTTCATAATAATTATATGGAAGTTTATTTTTCTCGTCTCTCGGGACGTTTATTTCAAGACGAATATTATTTACGTCTTCTCATAATAATTATGTGGGACTTTATTTTTTTTTTCATCTCCTGGGACGGGACGTTTATTTCAAGACGGAAATGATTTACGTCTTGTCATAATAATTATGTGGGACATTAATTTTTTTTGTCTCGTGGGACGTTTATTTTAAGACGGAAATGATTTACGTCTTTTCGTAATAACTATATATGCGACTTTTATTTTTCTCGTCTCTTGTGACGTTTATTTCAAGACGACAATGATTTACGTCCCACGTTTTCTCTTAATAAAACCGGTACATGTACAGCCGATTTCACGAAATTAAACGCAAATATCTCAGAGCTCGATTATTGGAATTTGATTTGCTAACATCTGGCAACCCTTTTCAATAAACTAAAACCACGTAAAAGCAAAGCCCTTTAATTTGACACCACATTTTTGAAAATCGAACGAACGATACAGATTTGATGACATGAACAATTGTGGCATTAAATATTTAATGCGTCAAATCTCCGAACTTAATTAATAAGTTTCATTCAACAAAAGTTCCATATAATTATTAGGAAAGGACGTAAATCATTTCCGTCTTGAAATAAACGTTCGATAGAGGAAAAAAAATAAAAATCCCATATAATTATTATGAGAAGACGTAAATCATATTCGTACTGAAATAAACGTCCCGTGAGACGAAAAAAAAATCCCATATAATTATTATGAGAAAACGTAAATCATTTTCGTCTTGAAATAAACGCCCCGAGAGACGAAAAAATATAGAAATCACATATAATTATTATGAGAAGACTTAAATAATTTCCGTCTTGAAATAAACGTCCCACGAGACGAAAAAAAATCTAAGTCCCATATAATTATTATGAGATGACGAAAATAATTTACATTTTAAAATAATCGTCCCGCGGGACGAAAACAACTCTTCCATTGTTCAATAATAATTATAGAGCAATATTTAATTTTATTTCTTATAATCGTTATGGTCTCTGTTTACAAATGTATATGTTAGTTCACTTGTATGTTACGTTCTTTGACAGCTGGTTCTGCGGTTATTTATATATATATATATATATATATATTGTTTTATTAAAATTTTAATTCTATGTGGAAAATGTTTTATGGTGTGAATATTGAACAGTATGTATTTAGAAATTGTTTTAATCGTTTAGATGTGGCGACTCACATTGTCTTTTCTACATGGAAGTTGGTCGGCAATGTACTATAGGTCCTGGAGAACTATGGATGGAGACGGAAGATCCACTTGTAGCTCAGAGTATGCACAGCATGATCTCAAGGTATGTTAAAACTATAGTTTTTCCAGTAGTCGACATTAGACTGCTGTATAATTAAAAATAAATAGATCGATTTACCATGTGTTCTTCAGACTATTTTTTCCGAGAAATTTTCAGCCCGGTTTATTGCACTTGCAATAGCTCTTTTCTTGATAAGTTATCAAGATTGAAAATGCACTTGGCAAGCGTTTACAAGCCGAAAATAAATGGCTGTCAGGCGTTCATTGTAGCAAGCACTGGCGTTACTCTTGCTGCTGTGGAAGCGACGCCAACGCAACGGCGAAGTTGTATGTGGACGAGCCTTAAGCGGTTCTGGCCGAGTTCCATAACGCAAGCTAGTCGTTTTTCTTCTGTGTCTAATAACGACAATTAGAAATGCTAAGTTAAGCCAAGTCCTTCTCCACCTGGTTCTTGCATCGCAGAAGAGGCCTTCCCTGCCTCTCCTACGATCATCGTGCAAGATCCGCTTTGTATACTTCCAGAATGTTTACGCGGGGGTTTGGTAGATAACTGACGCTCTGGTGTCCCAGAGCCTTTATTTATAACAAAAACTCTTAACCTACACATACACAATTCTTACCCTAACCATAGTATATCTAAAACATGTGTGTTGCACTACACATGTAGTAGGTATGTATAACTTATCTAGAAAAACACTTAAACCGACAGTGCCAGGAAGTAATAAAAATAGTATACGGTTTCACTTGCATTTTAAGCCAATCGCATTTCATAACATTTAAGAAATGCATACGTGACTATTCCCATACACCCTGGCACTTGTAATGTCTATAATTGCCAACTAAACAACCCTTAGGTCATGTTGTGCGCATGTGCACTATGTATGTATGTGTACAATGCCGTTGCACGTGCGCACAATTGCTACTTTCTATTGTTCTACTTATCGGCCTTACAATCGTTACCACATGCTGAGGACATGCGCATCCTAAATGCGTGCCCTATGAGTGTGCGTAACTAATCTTAAGACTTGTGCAACAAGACTTAACATATTGCCCACGTTGAAAGTATTTACTTTCAAAAAAGGTGAACTATTTCTTATTCAAATAGGTGTTGTGAGGAAGTCACTCAATATTCAACCTACTGTACTTATATTTATGTACTTATTTATTCTTATCGACTATTCTATTATCTAAGGGCCAGAGCAGCGGGAAGATATCGTGTTGAGAGACCACATAGCTTCCGAAAGATGACGATCATTCCCATGATGACTCCTGCGATAATGATCCAAGTTGATATATTCGAGCTGTAGTGCATCAGGTGGTGGAAATCGATGTCTTCTGAGAAATCAACAATGGCTGGTGGCCGCGGAATGTCCGGAATCGAGTATGTCAACATAGTCCCTTTTATAGTAATGTGCTTCATGAGCGGAAACTCCTGCTCATATTAATTGGGGGCATATTGTACTGAATAACAGTGGTTGGTGCCTTGTGTGCCAAAACGCTTACTATCGCGGTTGTTAAGTGGCAGCCAGGTTGCAGTTTTACAATGCCTTGCTCAACTAAAGTATGTGCCGTATAAGAGCTGCCGCAACTGACTTCTGCCTTTGTGTCTTCAGGGACGGAGTACAGCCAGCTATTTGAGGATTTAAGCTGCAACCAAACTTCTTGCAGAGGCATTATATTCACCACACATGATAATGGTAATTGCTTCGAATTAAAGAATAGCTCTAGTTCGCACGACTGGTCCTTTCTTACATTGTAGAGTGGTCCAATTTGGGGACACAGCGTGATTCTTCTCATTTTCTGGCAATACGAATATTTAGTTTCTTTCAGGCTACTATACATTGATTTCTCCTTATTTACTACCAGATATTCATATGCGAGTTTAAAGCTCACGAAGTAGCCGTCGTGCAGAATCGGATAACTGGTCAATGCAAATAACTGTAGCTGTTGGCTTTGTATAAGTGGTATTTGAATTCGCACTAAACAGAAGCCTTGGTTTATAGTGGCTGTGACCCGTGATATTTTTGATAGCTCAAACGGGTCGGTATCTGGCAATTTTAAGTCATCATTTAAATTTGCCGTAATTGTTGCTATTTGGGTTTGGAATCTGTCGATAGGTAAAATCCTTTTCATGAAATTTCCCTTTGAGTTCCAAATCAAATCCGTAATATCTCCTTGCAGTTGCTCTATTGACTCTATTGCAATGTTAATGCTTGCTATATAGTTTTGAAAGCCTTCCATTGCTAATTCATTTTCAGCCGCTTTCTTTATTATTTGTATGGAGTCCGATATTTGGTTAAAATTATTTCGAACAACTTCATTTTGTTTCTTCAAAACCTCTTGCGTTATGTCTTCAATGGAGGATTGATTCTGGTATAGCTTAAGCAAGTATTCTTCATTTTTATGGGTCCTTCATCCATTAGACCAAACACTGAATGATACACGCTTCCAACGAATGGCAGTATAGACCTAGATGCTCTATTTCTTCCATTAAATCTCATCAGTGCATCCTTTTGGTTGACTTCTTTAATGCGATGAATGACCTGATTAACTAAGGTCTCAACTACCTTTTGAGATTCTGCGTCTCCCTTGTCCAGTAGCTTGGCGAGTTTTTGTAGAGCCGAGGGTGTTCCCATTAGAAGCTGTATTTGGTGCTGATAATCCGTCATGTTCACGTGGATGATTATTTCCCATGATGTCTTCGTCAAACCCAAACTGTCTTGCCTCTCTATTAATATCCCTGACTTGTCCCTAAATTTTTCTATAATTACTTGACAATTGGAGAGTGGTAGTACTAATAAAAAGGTTAACATCGTCATTAGAACATTTTTATTTTTATGCCTTACATTCCTATTCTTATGGGATTCCTCATTTTTACTTATATTTCTTTCCGTTTCCTTAGGAAAAGGACAAACATTGGTTATTGATCTTTTTGTCATTCCAGTGCTGGTCCTTACGTCTACCATCCTGCATTTTCCATCTTTTCCGATGATGAGGTTCTCAACCCTGCCCCTTCTCCAAGTCATTGTTGGAAGATTTTCTTCCTTAAGGAGAACTAAACTCCCTTGGGGTAAGTTATCTTGTGGCCTTTGCCACTTGACTCTTTTCTGAAGTTCGCTTAGGTACTCCAGTGACCAGCGCTTCCAAAATTCCTTTGAATTTCTTTCCACTGCTTTCCAGTGGTCCCGCACCCCGTGATAACAATGGTTTTCACTACTGTCTGCAAGTGTGGTTAAAGTCTCCCCTATAAGAAAATGACTTGGAGTTAAAACCTGGAAGTCATTCGGATCCTCCGATAATGGTGTTAGAGGTCGTGAATTCAATACTGCTTCTATCTGGGTCATGAGTGTGCACATCTCTTCAAAGGTCAATGTGCCTTCAACTACTCTGTGAAAATGCTTCTTAACCGATTTAACAGCAGCTTCCCATAACCCTCCTACGTGTGGAGATCGAGCTGGTATATTCACCCAATTAATGCTGTGTACAGCACAGAACGAGGAGACTTCTTTTCCGAGTTGCTCCTTTTGAAATAATATATAAATTTCATGTAAACTATTTGCTGCCCCAATGAAATTTGTTCCGTTGTCGGAGTATATTTTTGCAGGACAACCACGTCTTCCCACAAATCTTTTTAAGGCTCCTATAAAAGCTGCTGAGCTTAGACCTGATACCACTTCTAGGTGAACTGCCTTTGTGCTGAAACACACAAATACACACACATAGGCTTTATCTACTCGTTTGCCTCTTATTTTGTGGTGAATTTGTATAGGACCCAAGAAATCAACCCCAGTATTCAAGAAGGGCCTGATGCATCTTACTCTATCTGCTGGTAAATTACCCATGATTTGAAAAAGGGGACGAGGATTTGCCCTGAAGCATCTATAGCAATTGTTAACAATTCTTTTTGTGAGTTGCCTGCCCCTTAAAGGCCAAAACTTCTGCCTAACTATTGCGAGAAGGCCTTGCGGTCCTATATGTATATGTTTTTGATGGATTCCCTCCACCAAAATTTTAACTAAAGTGTCTTCATATGGAAGTACTGCAGGATGTTTTGCTTCTTCTGGAATATTACCTTCTTGTAGACGTCCTCCAACTCTAATGATGCCATTTTTGTCCAAAAATGGTGATAGAGTTATCAGCTTCGAGCTCTTTTCTAAATTTTTGTTACCTGAAAGGAGACTTAGTTCTTTGTTAAAATATTTAGTTTGTATATATTTCAAAATAAAACTCAAAGCTTCTTTTCGATAATATAAGTGATTCTGAATTTCGAGTTCTTTCTTAGGACGCTTTAATATAGTATCTTTAAATTTGATAAGCAAAGCAACCACATTTAATAAGAATTCAAAATTATTTTTGTGGTCAATTGAATCAATTAAAGAGCAATTCCTTACCAAAACACCTGCTGTTATAGCAGTTTTCTTTATATCTGGAAGCGATGTTAAAGGCTTTGTGACAATTTTTTTTCTGTATGACTCCATGTTAGCTAAGTGCATTGGTCCATTAAACCACAGACTATTATTAATTATTTCTTCTGGATATAACCCTCTTGTTATTAAATCAGCTGGGTTTGATTTTGTGTCAATATGTCTCCATTGCCGCCCTTTGGTTTGCACCTGAATAAAGTTTACCCTATTCGACACAAATATTTGCAATTTTGCAGGATCTAATTGTAGCCAACTAAGGACGATTGTTGAATCCGTATAATAAATATGCTTGTCTTTTAGATTAAGTGCTTTTGATACTTTTTCCATTAATTTTACTAACAGTACCGCAGCACATAGTTCTAATCGAGGTAACGTCTGAATTTTTAATGGGGCGACTTTCGATTTGGAAGCTAATAGATTTATTTTAATATTTCCCGATTTGTCTACTGATTTTACATATACCACAGCGCCATAGGCTCTCATGGATGCATCTGAGTATCCGTGTAATTCTATTTCTTTTGCATCAGGTAATAATGCGTATCTGGGAAGATTTATTTCATTCAATAGTTTCATTTGATTTCTTAAATGTACCCAGGATCGCATGGTTTCTCCTGTAACGGCTTGATCCCAGTCGATTTTTTCTTTCCATATTTGTTGTAGTATCAATTTTGCCACCAATACAACTGGACTCAAAAGACCTAAAGGATCAAATAGTTTCGCAATATCAGAAAGTATTTGGCGCTTTGTAATTTTGTAGTCAGTTTCTAAATAAGATTTTATTGAGATGTCATCTTTAGCTGGATTCCAAGCGATTCCTAGGGCTTTTATATTCTCAGCTTTATTAGATGTTATATCTAATTTAATTTCTCGATCTTCGCTAGGAATTTCGTTCAACAAACTAGGATGATTAGCACACCATTTTCTCAATTTGAATCCATATGAATTTAATATATGAATTATTTGTTGCTGCGTATTTTTTAGCTCAGTTAGATTATCACAACCTGTCATCAAATCGTCCATATAAAAGTCTGACTGAATGCATTGTGAAGCTGTTGGAAATTTATCTTTATTATCTTCTGCTGCTGTTTGTAGACATTTTACTGCTAAGTAAGGTGCACTCGCAGTGCCATAAGTAACAGTTTTTAATCTGTATGTCTTTAGGGCCTCCGATGGCTTCCACCTCCAGTAAATTAGTTGGAAGTTTTGATGTTCTTCGTTTACCCATTTTCTCAATGTCTGCTGATATTACAAATTTGTGTTTTCTGAAACGCATCAGAATATCAAATAAATCATCTTATAGCCTTGGCCCCGTATGTAATAAATTATTTAATGATATATTTGTAGTAGTTTTTGCAGATGCAGCAAAAACTACTCTCAATTTTGTAGAAGTGCTATCTGGCTTCAGTACATAATGATGAGGTAAATAACATTTGAACTGAAGTTGGTTTGGAGTGGCTAGAGCCTCCATTTGATTTAATTTTATATACTCCTTCATAAATTCATGATACTGTGACTTTACTTCATAGTTTTTCTCCAATTTCTTTTCCATAGCTAAGAACCTTCTTTTAGCAGTAATCTCTGAATTTCCTAATTGTTCAATGTCTCCTTTAAAGGGGAGGTTTACTCCGAACTTCCCATCCACTTTTCTGGTTGTGGTTTTTGTAAAAATAGTTTGACAGTCTTCCTCCTGCTTTGAAAATTTTTTGTCTTTTTCCATATCTTCCTCAATTTCCCAAAACTGTTTTATTTGGTTTTCTATTGTGGGCTCGGAAAAAGAGGCCAAACTGCAAATGTATGGGGCTCTATTAATCATTGCAGCTCCTGTAATAACCCAACCCAATTTGGTTTTGTGGGCTATTAAATTATTTTCATTCAATGAAATTTTTTCTCCTTCAAAGAGATCCCCATAGGTTAATTCGTAACCTATTAATATGTTCACTTTCTTAGGAACATTAAAATTTGGATCAGCTAATTCAATGTTATTTGGAATCTTTTTAATAATGGCTTCTTCTGCCGGCAATTTGGACATTAATTCCTGCGCTATTAGTACGTCTAGATTTGTTTCGAAATTGCTCATATGCATTCTGGACTTAATTTTTATATTTACCCGTTCTTCAATTTTTGAACGTGTTTTGCCAACACCTTCTATCGCTGCCGATTTAATTGCTTCGCCCTTAAGTCTTAATTTCTTTAGGAACGATTTTGACATCAAATTTACTTGAGAGCCGCTATCAAGAAGCGCTCTGCCTTTGATCCATTTGCCTTTGGCATCTTGGATATAAACAACCGCTGTAGCTAACAAAATGCATTTTTCTGAATTTTCGCATCCTTGCTTAATGGTACTTTTTGTCACTGCACCTTTTTCATTACTAACTTTGTGTAAGAATGTGCTATGACCTTCATTACATATACGACAATTATACCCATTGCAATTTTTACTCGAATGTCCATTTTTTAAACATTTCGAGCATAAGTTATTTTTTCTAACCTTTTCCCATTTTTCTTTAATGGTAAGGTCTTTAAATTTTGTGCATTGAAAAAGGAAATGTCGATTATTACATCCCATGATGCATTCGATTTCCTTTTTGTTTGCCAATTCTTTAATATGGTCATCCCATTTGGATGACCCATCCTTTTTTGATGATTTTTGTACTGCTTGCAGTGCATAAAACTCATGATTTAAAAATTTCACCAATGAGTCAACAATGGGTATTTCTCGTGAGTTCTGAAGTGAAGTTTCATACTTCAATCTTAAATCATTACTCATTTTTCGTACTAAAATGAAACTTAAAAGGCCTTGCAGTATACTTTCAGAACTCAATTTTGTTGCTTTTAGAGCTTGCAAATTTTCCTCAATCACTTCTTTCAATCGTTTTACACTTTCTAGATTTTCAGTCGTATAGGGTGCCCCCATTATGTTCGAAAAATGAATGGCAGTTTGCGCTCTCAAGTTGGTATATTTATTATCCAAGAGGTTCCAAGCAATTGGATAGTTTTCTGCATTTGCTGGTAGGTTCGCGATCGTCATTGCCGCTTCCCCTCTTAGCTTTGATTTCAAGCAAATCATTTTCTGTGTATCCGAGATACTGGCTGAACCTATTAATTGGGAAAACAATTCTCTAAACGTGTTCCACTGAATATAGTCTCCAGAGAATACCGGAATATCTATGTTTGGCAGTGTGTAGGGCAGATTTTCATTCTGCGTTTTTTTATCTTCAGGAGCGAAGTCCAAAGCCTCATCGAGTTTAAAACTTACGTTGAGAAATAAATCTTCTAAACAATTCTCGTCACATTCTCCTAAATAATTGCGATACATCATTTTAGCTTCTTTGGCACTTTCCAGAAGGAAGACTTTTGGAATCTTATTTCCCAAAAATTTGTCAATAGTCTTGCTAAGATCTTCTAAAACGAACTTTAATTGCCGTTCTGATTTTGAAATCATGGGAGCTGTAGCGATTGAACCTAAGGTGTGACTAGATGTAGGTGGCTGAGGTGCTGGTCGTGAGGCTATCACTCCCGCTGCTTGCAAACTATCTTTTAGTGCTTTAGCTTCCATTTCCATGGTCAAAATTAGAGTTGGGGTATTATTGAAAAATCCCCTAATTTGCTCTGCATGGTTATCTTTAAAATAAGGGTTTCTCTTTAGGGTTGAAGAGGCCTCTTTGAGGATACACTCGTTCTCCTCAAATTGCCTAGACAGATCGGTTACTACACCCCTCCAACGTTGGATCTGTCCCTCTTCAATATTTTGCCCCCTAAAATTTTTTATTTCCTCATACAGAGAAGAGATTCTGCTTGCAATGGTTTGATTTTCGTTAAGCGCAGAATCCATTGCTTTTAAAATTTTTTTATTAAGGATTTAATACACACAAAAAACTATGTAGATAAAAGACTAAGAGTATATATGTATGAATATATTAATACTTACCACTACTCTTATACTGCCAATTTTAATTTGAAACAAAAAAAATTTCACTTTTCAAAAAAACTCACTTAGGGTCACCAACTGTTTACGCGGGGGTTTGGTAGATAACTGACGCTCTGGTGTCCCAGAGCCTTTATTTATAACAAAAACTCTTAACCTACGCATACACAATTCTTACCCTAACCATAGTATATCTAAAACATGTGTGTTGCACTTAACTTATCTAGAAAAACACTTAAACCGACAGTGCCAGGAAGTAATAAAAATAGTATACGGTTTCACTTGCATTTTAAGCCAATCGCATTTCATAACATTTAAGAAATGCATACGTGACTATTCCCATACACCCTGGCACTGAATTGTAATGTCTATAATTGCCAACTAAACAACCCTTAGGTCATGTTGTGCGCATGTGCACTATGTATGTATGTGTACAATGCCGTTGCACGTGCGCACAATTGCTACTTTCTATTGTTCTACTTATCGGCCTTACAATCGTTACCACATGCTGAGGACATGCGCATCCTAAATGTGTGCCCTATGAGTGTGCGTAACTACTCTTAAGACTTGTGCAACAAGACTTAACACAGAGCTAGAGCTTTCGTGTTCATTCATACGACATGGCCGAGCCAATGAATGTTGTATTTTAATCCGCCTCAGTTTGAGTATATGTGTAGTTATCACGATTGAGAGAAATAGAGGTTGCGCCCAAGAATGATAGAATACAAGATTGCGCCGATCAGAGAGGATTTTTGAAAATAACTTTTGTGTGACGTCACACTGGTGCAATTGCGAGAGAGAAATGCCAAAACGTGAGCAAGAATGGAAGAAGAAGAGAAAATGTTGCAAGGAAAACGTAAACAAGTTGCACAAGTGTGACGTCATGCAAACAACGATTCTGTCAAATTCGTTAAGAGAGGAATAGCGGTCCGAGATCGGCGCAACCTGTGTATTCTCTCAATCGTGGGTTGCGCCCATCACGGTACCGCTATTCCTCTCTCAGTGAATTTGACAGAATCGTTGTTTGTATGACGTCACACTTGTGCAACTTGTTTACGTTTTCCTTGCAACATTTTTTCTTCTTCTTCCATTCTTGCTCACGTTCTGGCATTTCTCTCTTGCAATTGCACCAGTGTGACGTCACACAAAAGTTATTCTCAAAAATCCTCTCTGATGGGCGCAATCTTGTATTTTATCATTCTTGTGGAGTTATATAGTCAACGCGGAAAAGCCCGTATACATACGGTGACCATTCGCATCAATTTTGAGAAAGCTGTTCAGCTGAAAATTTGTTTATAGTCGGTACGTGTTATTGTCCCGATTTTTCAAATTTGCACCGATTATTTTCCGCTTTTCAGTGTTTTCTTTATTTATTTAATAGAAGTCTCCCTGTAATCTGACCCAAAAACCTTTTGAATTTTGTGAAATTATAAAAAAGTATACTGAGTTCCTTCAAAAATTCATGGATGTGAAAAATATAAGACAGAATATTTACGTATGTATATTGTGCATATACATTTTCGCGATGATTTTTCAAGTTTGTTTCTCTTTGTTTTGTTTTAAATAAAACTGTTTTAAACCTTATTATATCTTTTTATGCCGCTGTGGGGTGTAGTGGTTAGTAGTGCTCGCTTCCATTCCGCAGGGGCTGGGTTTAAGTCCGGGTCAACCAAAAAAAAAAAAAATTAACTTGTCTAATTGCGGTCCCCCGGAAGCCAAGGGCGAACCTCCGAGTGTATTTCTTCCATGAAAAAACAGCGTCTCAAAAAAATACAATTGCCGTAAGCCGGCGTAAAACTGTAGTGTGTGACAACATCAAGGGCACGCTCTAAATCGGAGAATACGCTCGACTAAACACTAACATATGTGTTAGCGCCAATCTATATTATTATTATTATTGTTATTCTAAAAAGTAAATTGTATGTTTTTATTCGATGCTTTAGAAATGTCCCGATTTTTGTCCGCAGAAATATGGTCACCGTTCGTATTCACCATTCACCAGCACAGGGGATATTTGTACGATGAGAGAGGACTTTACTTCTCAGTTGTGTCCTCAGTCCAATTTAGCACTTGTTGGCAGAAGTGATTTTCCGTTGGATTTCAAGGCTGACATTATCATTGGTGTTAATGCTGGTTCCTAAATAAACTAAGTCATATACTTTTCCGAAATTATAGCTTACTACCGGAACGATCTTATTTTGGCGGATCTTTCCCATTATTTGACGAATGGTGAATATCGGGTCTATGGGCTTACTATGTGGAACTAGTTCGTTAACAATGGGCTTCAGACTTTCACACAATTCCTTAGATATCCTAGAGACCTATATCCGATACTAAAAAGCTGATCCCACAGTAGTACGGCGGGTTACCTTTCTTGTGGATTCATCTGACCATATTTTGCATAAGAGTTGATGCATGCACCATTCAACTCTCGACGCCGTACTTGAATAGCTCAGCTGGCAGGCCTTCACCTCCGGCAGCTTTGTTTTTTTTTTCAGCTGCGTAATTGCTATTCATATATCGTAATAGTCAGGCAATGGGACATCGCTCCCGTCGTCATCAGCTGACGGTTGGAGTTCATCTCCACTAGTTTCAGTGCTGTTACCATTATATAGGCTGAAAAATATTCCCTTAATGGTTTAAGTATATTCTGCACAGCGATTACTATGTCCCCGCGGTATCGGTTGTTCTTTCGAGCTCGCTAAAATCCGACTAATTTTTTAGCAGCGGTACGTAGTGAGGGGGAAATATCGTTCCGGTGGTCGCATGTGTCGGTTGGTTGAAAGAGCTCTCTGAGAGAGTCGAGTGGTAAAAATTACGTAACCTGAAAATACTATGTATTGGGCGAAGAATTCGATTCAATTTTCTAGTGAAAGTTTTGGTTTAAATGTCTAAAAAGCTTACAAATTGGAGCGAACAAATGCGAAAAAGTGCGGCAGGTGCAGTGCGTAATTAAAAGATAGGGTGTCCTTGCAAAATCCTTGTAAGGGTTCTCAATCTAGACCGTTTAAAATCTCCTTTTCTACAATGGGAGCCTCTAGCACAGTTTTCAACACACCTTCGCTTAGGTTTGTAAGTAAGCCATAAGAGAGTAACACCTATATCTCAATTAAAAAATTAAGTAAATTATCCTGAAAATATAATTACTTTTGACGATAACGCAACGGAAGTTAAAAAATCGTACATAAAAATTATATTGCCAAAATTGAATCCCGTGGTTAAACGGGCATTTCTTGGAGTTTATTATCTCATTTGCTTCCAACTACCCTCAGTTGCTTTAATCGATTTCTCTACATTACGTTTACAAGCAAAACAGGGAATTATAGATTTTTTACTTCAAAAGGGACACCGCGACCTAGAAGATCTTTTTTTTTATCACGGCGATGGTTCTTAACCCTCACGGCCCAAGACGTTATTAGCCTCCCTTATAAATGCTAAAAGTTTCTTAGTAGACGAATTCCTAACCTTAAGGGCATCAGCCCAGAACTAAATGGCTTGATTGTAAGAGTTCTGCACAAAAACCATTTCGAACCATTACCTGAACCCCAAAATACCAGACGGGCGGTATTTAACCCAATTCCTATACGTAGAGTCTATTTTAGTTATGAGCAAACTTCTGCCGGGACGTATGTGTCCCGTTCAGATCGAAAGAGTTAATTCCAAAAACTCCAATTCTTCTTCGCTTTTCTTAAAAAGGAGTATTTTGAATATTGTAAATTCATCCTCAATTATGTTACATAAAAAAGGGTTTATGAAGTATGCAAACGTACATTTAGATAATTTAAAATCGGCAAATCTTTTGTCAAATTCTGCTTTTAAATCATGTGAAATATTTTTTTTGGAGCCATGGAAAATGATGAAATATTCTTTTTTTGAGATCATGAATAAAACGACGTAGTTTAGCTTCAAAACTTAAAATAATTTGCGATAAATCAAAAACAGTTTTATTCTCCCCTTGTAGAGAAAAATTCAAGTTTTGCAAATGTTCCATCATATCGGTAAAGAACATTAAGGGCCAAATTAACAGTGCTTAGTTAACTCAGAATCGGCAGTTACCTACAGATTTTCAGTACAAAAAATCTGGCCCTTAGTCAGAAAGCCAGTTTTCATTCTCCAATTGCGGGTAATGTCCCCATCTCAATTTGCGTATGTGTATATAAAAAACAACATAATGAATAAGAATGTCCTGCAAAGAAATGTGTATTTTAAAAAATAAAAACATCCAAAATGTTCTAAGCAAAGAGAAAGTAGAAGGAGCCGCATTTTGCTAAGCAAAGGGCCGCATTTGGCTCCGTTGTCTTATATCCTCTTATCTTATGTCCTGGACAAAAAATCCCTTCGCGTATTATACATAAACTAGTGAATCCGCATGGCGTTAAAATGTCAAAAATTTAATTTCAAAAACCTTTAAACTATGCCAAATGTTAGTCCAAGCTATAATCAATCCGAGTGCACTGTACGAAATCCGTTTCTGAAGTGAAGAGATGTCTCGCATAGTGTAAATTTTTAATACCATTAAATTTCAAATCACCCCGTACTGTTAACAAAGTTCTTACTTAAAAAAAGTAAAAACTTAAAGCACATCTACAGGCCAAGGTCTTTACTTTGACCCCTCATATTTGAAAATCGAAAGAACG